CTGACGTTAAGCTCTTTTTTTTTTTTTTTTTTTGCAAATAGACCTTTTTTACCGGGAGGCCGTTTAAAAATAGTGCCGTTTATTAAAAGAATGACAGTCTCAATGAGGCTGATGGAAATACACTGGAGAAAAAAAAAATCATGTGTTGAATTCATTTTATTTCATCAAATGCTGGCATGGAGTAAAATCAGACATACATCTGCTTAAAAAAAGTATGTCTGGATCCACAAAAAAGCCACGCCTGAAACAACGCAGGAAATCTATTTGGATCGTACGATTGCTCTGATGATTTATAAAGTCTTTCAGACAAATGTAGTCCTTGCAATTTTTGAAAAAGAAGCCATCGAGAAGCCATCCCTGACAAGAACCAGGAAGTCAGCCATTTTTGGAAGAAATTGGCCATATGCAGGGTCCCTTCAAACTACCCCTCGAGATTTTTGTCCGAGGGGTAGTTTGAATAACAGAGTTTTGGCCACTGTGTGAAATTTGATTACTTGCCATAAAACACAAAAACAAATCGAATAAGTCTGCTTGCTCCATGGGGTCAACATTCTCGTCTGTGATGAAGGCCGATTGTATGCAGCGCCCCCTACTGGCAGAAAATAGTTGTACTTTTGGCTGCGATGGTCTCCAGACACCTCACTTAATAAACCGCCCCGCACCCCAAAAAAAAAAAAGCTGTCGCTTCAACCTCTCACTGTCATGTATGCAGACTGGGCAGCAGCCCCGATTCCCTGAGGTCAGCTGTTGCAGTTCCCTGAGCTGCACTTGTAACCCGGGCATCCCCCAACATCCTTTGCTCTTGACATCCCCCACCACACACACACACACACACACACTCATGGGCTGCCAAGCAACTGATAAGTCACTGCTAAAGATTTCCTACTTGATGTGTTAGCATAATGAACCTCCTGCCCAACATGCAGACGTGTGTGCATGAAAACGTGTATACACTTACACACACACACACACACACACACACACACACACACACACACACACACACACACACACAAAAGCCATCATGAGTAGATCAATACTTCCACCGCATTGATTTTTCTGCACTGCCATTCATCTTTTAACACAGTGAAGACAGCCACGGCGACTGTGTGGGATTTAGTATGCGCATTTGTATACGTAGATATGTCTGCAAAAGACAATTGAGACCAGAGTTGAATGTTTTGGAATAAATCTGATGAGAATAAAGTCAGACTTTGGGAGAAAGAAGCTGTTATTATTGTTCTTATTTGTTTTTTTAAAATGTCTAAATTTTTTGGGCTGAAAAATGTTGTAATTGTAGGAAAACAAAGTCGCTCTTTTCAAGGAAAAAAAAATCTGAAATCTAATTCGAGTAAATGTATTCTTTTTGAGAAAATAAATTGTTTTAAATAATAATAACAATAATAATAATAATAATAATAATAATATAGATATTATTATTATTATTATTATTATTATTATATTGTCTCAAGGAAAAACGTTTTTTGTCGTAAAAGTGAACATTTAAAAGCTTTATTCTCACCGAATGTGGACAAGCGAGCTAGCTGGCTCGCTTTGGCTAGCGTTAGCTCATGTTTGCATGTTTCTTTGCGGACAGCCTGCAAAACAACAAAAAAAAAACAGCTGTCTTTCTGCTTGTTTTTATTAAAGACTATAGCCACAATTTCTAAATCCTCAAAAAAATCTGCTGCATGGCAGCCCACGCTTTAATTTTTTTTCTTGGATCCCGCTCCTGCTCATGCCGTCAGATCCGTTTTGCGCGGCTCTCTTCTGTGAATTCCAAACAACTCTGAGGAAGTAAACAGTTTCGATTAAATGGCAATTGACGCTGAATGGATAGCGGTGCAGATTAAAGGGAAAATAGAGCGCGCCCGTCGTTTTCCCTTGAGACAAAGCAATGCAAACATTCTCTGGCCCATTCGGGTTCGGTCATACCTCACTGAAGTGTTGACTCTGGTAATGAAAACCTGGCAAGCTCTGTTAAAGGACGTGTGCGGCGACCCCTTTTATGTCATTTTGCCGGGAAGTCATTTGTGGGAGGAAGCGCAAGTATGTGGCCGTTGCAGTCTGGCTGCCCCCCCGGGTCCGCTCGAGATAAATGTGAGACGAAAACCTGGAGGACAAGGCGATGAATAATGGCCGGGACTTTGTGTTCTCTGCCAAGGCCGAGACTGAGAGTTAATGTTTGGATTTGGGGGATTTTTTTTTTTTTTTTTTTTTTTTTTTGGGCCGGCTTATCCTCCAAAGTTCTAGGCCATCCTGCAAGCAGCAATGCCAAGATAGATTGCCTGCTCGGTTACGAATAGCATAGTAGCCCAGGTTATGATGAAACCTTTTCAGAAAACAAGGGGCAGGGGGGCAAAAAAGGTCATTTTTAGCAAGCAAATGGTATTTTTTTTTTAATGAAAGAAACTCACTTGACATTTATGAAGTTTATGAAGTATGAAGGAATACTGTGCACCACTTTCGGGAGTTGTCACCGTTTTTGCTGTTTTCTGCTCTCAACAGGTGGCGCTGTCGTTTTCGAGAGGTGATGGCGCACTCCTTGCTCATGACGCTGGTGCTTCTTTTGGCGGTGGTGTCTTTCGCCATCGCCGCCGGACCACCCGGCGGCCCTCGCGGAAAGAGGAGGCGCAACTCTGGTGGACGATCACAACACCCCCCGCGGGCCGCACCGGGCCACAGCGACCAGTGGGTGGCACGGAAGAGCCGGGGCGGCGGGCGTGCGCATTACCCGGCCCGGCTTGAGGACGACGGATTGAGCTTGGAGGGTCTGCGCCCGGTGCGGGTGGCCATGGGGCCAGGTCGAGCCGGCCTGAGTGAGAACCGCTTGATGGACACGCGCAAAGGAAGGGGACACGGCGAACGGTCGCAGCTCAGGAGACGCGGGGGGAGACGGGACAAGGGACGACATGGGCAAGGTGCGTCTTGGCGGCACGTTCAAATGGGTTTTTCTTTTTCCAAGTAGTTTTTGTGACTCACGTCAGATTTTTCCCATGAGAAAAATGTTTTCATCTCAATAGGATTTGGGGAAAAAAACAATTCTCACTGAGTTTTTTTTTTGGGGGGGATGTAGAGAGAGAATATAGTCTGGGAAAAAAATTGTAACTTGATGGAAGCAGGATAGATATTTTATGAGTAGAAAGTCTTAGAACAGTGAAAATATTTTTTTCAAGAAAAAAAAAGCCATGATGTTGATTAGTCTCCATTTTGTGAGAAAATTTTGGACTGTTCCCAGTCACAAAAAATCATGATTTCACTATAATAAAGTATTACATTTTATGGTGTTGTTTTTTAAATGTTTTTATTTTTTTGAAAACTCAAAATGAAATTGAAATTGAAATCAATTCTTTTTTTTTTTTTTTTAAGAAATGAATTTCTAGTCAAAGAAAAAAATCAACAGTCCTTATTTTAGCAACACGCGGAAGCACATCAAGAGTGAATCTCCTGTTTCCGTTTTTCACAGATCCCCAGCCAAGCCTCGTAGTGGACGAGCCCCCTCCTTCGCCGTCCTCTTCTTGGGCCCTTCCTGGAGATGGCCCCTCCCCCAATCCCTTTGGCTCTGGCTCTTCCATGGTTGTCACGGTGACCAACGAGCATCCCCCAACGCTACCCCCGGCCTCCAGCAAACCACAGGTGACTCGGGACAATCGTCAAAAAGTTTCAACATAATTGAGATTCGACTTCTACGACTGCTACTAACTAAACTCACCCTTAAAAAAAACAATAGAGTTCTTGTTTGGGCATTATTGAAATGACTGAACAGACAAACAACCAACCATTCACGCTCACACTCGTACCTTGGAGTGCCCAATCAACCTGCCATGCATGTTCTTGGAATGTGGGAGGAAACTGCAGTACCCGGAGAAATCCCACGCAGGCCTGAGGAGAACATGCAAATTTCACAGAGGAAGGCCGCAGCCAGAATCGAACCCTGCACCTCTGCACCGTGGGGCCGACGTGCTGATCTGTCATCCACCGTGCCGCCCCTACTTAATTCCAGAGTGACAATTGCTTTCGACGCAAAAGGGCAACAAAAGTGACAGCATCCTGACATGACAGTTCTGATACTCGCTCTTTGTACAGTATTTGGTTTCTCTTTAAAACCTGTCTCTTCTCAGCGGTCCGGACGAGGTAAAAAGCAAGGCGAGGTGATGCCCACGTTGGACATGGCACTCTTCGACTGGACGGACTATGAAGACATGAAGCCCGCGGACGCTTGGCCGTCCTCCAGGAAGAAAGGTCTGGCTCCAAAATCTTACCGCTTGTTCTGATCCTGAAAAAGTCTCTCATTGTCATGTCCCTCCACAGATAAAAGGCGAAGTAAAAACCTCAGCAGCGGGAACGCGACGGTGGACGCCGACGACATCGAACCGTGTGACCACCATTTGGATTGCCTCCCCGGTCAGTCTCCATCGTGAGATCTTTACCCACTCGTGAAATGTCTTGAAATGTTGATTTTCGAAAAGGTTCCTGTTGTGACCTGAGACAACACGAGTGCAAAGCTCACAACCGAGGCCTGAACAACAAGTGCTACGACGACTGCATGTGTGAGGAAGGTAAGGATTTACCCCGACTGTCAGCCGCTGCCCTGGACTTCCTGTCCAGTCACCCCCCTGGCCCCCCAACAATCCTGTACCTCCCTTTTCCCCATCTCTTCTATTCCAAACGCATGCCCTTGTCTTCACTTCCTGTTTCCTAATTTCCGAGATGCTAATCTCCTGAAACGCGAGTTAGCCAAGTCCTGTTTCCTCACTTCCTGTCATCCATCTTCCTGCTCACCGGCCCACCATTTTATCTTCTATGCCAATGCTTATTTTCATCCCCTCCCCGACATTCACACACAATTTCCCAAACGGGACTTGCGGTTGTAACCTCGCAGGCTTCCGTTGCTACGCTAAATTCCATCGCAAGCGACGGGTGACGAGGAGGCGGGGCCGCTGTGTGGCGCCTGAGTCGGTCAGCAGTGACCAAGGAGGCTTCATCACCATCTGAGGAGGAAGAGAGGAGCGCTTGTGGAAGACGGCAACCGTGACCACTCGGACACGGCTGACCATATTCTAAAGGGGTGGACATTTTGAAGGACAATGGAAAGCTAAACCCATAAATCCCGAAACCCAACCATATCCCAATCCAACGCGAACTCTCAACCTACCCTGAACCCAACTCTACTCTCCCCGCGACCCAACCCAAACCGGCCCTAATCGTCCTGAACCTCCACGAGTGAGTGTTTATTCCCCCAATTTTTTTTTTTTTTTTTTTTTTTTTTTTTTTTTTTTTTTTTACACATGATGAATAAATTTAAGGTGTTGAAAATAGCATTAGAACGCTTGGTTACTCAAGCGGGATGGGTTTATTTATTTTTTTTGGTTTCCTGTTCTGATTCATTTTAGAAATTTGAAGACAACCAGCAGTTTATTTATTTATTTATAAATATATATGTATGTATGTATGTATATGTATGTAGAAATACACATATATATATAGATATATATATATATATATATATATATGGCATAGCATTAAAAAATAAATCTACTCAAAGCTAAAAAACCCACGAAGAATTCATTAAAACTATCAGAATTAAAAGAAAAAAACTAAACTCCAAACTAAATGAAAAATATATATATATATATACATGTATATACGCACACACACTCAATATCATTTCTTTTTGTCTCATGAATATCATCTACAAGGTGATTCCTCATCCCAAATGCGATTTGTCAATACGAAGGTGCAACAGATTTTCTTTTTCATCTTTAAGTCATGACTGTTCCGCTCTTGATCTATTGCGGATTTATTTATTTTCAGTATTGTGCTTTAACGGGATTTGCATTCAATATTAAACTGTTTGTTGTGTAACAAACGAGCGGCACTCAAAATCCCAACCTCGCTTCTCTTTCTAAAGTGGGGTCTGTTTTGGTGGCCTCAGTATTGCATCTCTGCTTTTTGCAGATGATGTGGTACTGTTGGCTCCTTCAAGCGGGGCTCTCCAACACTCACTGGAGCGTTTCGCAGCCGAGGGTGAAGCGGTTGGAATGAAAATCAGCACCTCCAAATCTGAAACATTGATACTCAGTCGGAAAAAGTGGTGGCGTGCCCTCTCCGGGTCGGGGAGGAGATCTTGCCCCCAGTGGAGGAGTTTCAGTATCTTGGGGTCTTGTTCACGAGTGAGGGCAGGAGGGAGCGAGAGATCCACAGGCGGATCGGTGCAGAGTCTTCTGTGATGCGGATTTTATATCGTCTGTCGAGGTAAAGAAGGAGCTGAGCCAAAGGGCGAAGCTCTCAATTTACCGGTCGATCTACGTTCAAAAACTTCATTTCATAAAATGTTTCCTTTTTTTGATTAAATCGGGGAAAAGAAGTGTTTGATTTTTTTTTTTAAATGGAGGCGGATGAGAAGGAACTCGAACTGGTGGTGGTGATGGGTGGGGGGGGCTGCGGAAGAGGGTAGTGAGGCTGTGCGTGAGTCACATGGGAAGCAGTCAGGGTGCCGTCACATGGTTTGTGTTTGCAAGCCAAGGCTAACAAAGAAAAAGACAAAGTTTGGGTGCTGTGCTGTTCCTCTCTTTGAAAGTGCCAGACAGCTTTGAGCCCCGCTCGCTGCCTGTTATGGAAATTCCAGCCATCAATCTAAAGGTGAGCCTGCCTGCATTATTTTATTTTTTTTCCAACTCTTGTATTCGTGTCCCGTGACGCCTTTTGGAACTCCCGTGAGCATTGCCAAACAGTATTTTGAATTCCAATGTATCCAAATGGACGTGACGAGAAGACGACAAATGCCTGCTGAGAGTTTCTTGAGGGCACCTTGACCATCGCTCATGTCACTGCCCTGCGTTAGTCACATAGGACAACGTTTGCAAACTGTGGCTTGCGGGCCCAAACGTGAACCTTTGAGGGCGTCAACTGAATCCCACGAAGACTGAAGTCAGGGTAATATTTGTTCTTGGTTTTTTCGGTGGTTCAGAATTCACCCTGTTGTTTTGAGTGTGTATTTATTTTTATGGACTTTTTTTAAATTGTAGATTTGTTCTTCTGAGTAATTTTACAGAGGTATTTTTGTCATTTTACTGTATTTATTTTACTATTATTTCATTTATTTATTTTATTGTTTATTTATTTTATTCATCATCATAAACATATTGGTCATTTGTTTTATTTTTGTTTTCGAACTTAATATGTATTTTTGTGTGTATTTTTTTCACCACAAGGTATTGTTCGAAAGTCAGAAAAAACGTTTTTTCCATGTTTCAGTGTGACTATTTTATCATCATTATTGTTCACATTATTTATTTGTATTTTCCTTGAGATTTCAAATAGCTCTTGACGGAATGATTTGAAATGTCTCTTTATGACTACGTTCCGAATTGTGGCGTCACCGTTCTGATGTGTTTGTCTGTCAGGCCATCGTTCTGGTGCACTGGTTGCTTACAGTCTGGTGAGTGAACACGTTTTTTCTTCACCAACTTGAGGAATTTCTCCCCTTGTCCACCTCCAATAGGTCACCAAGCACACACGCACGCACGCAGACACGCACACACACACACATATCAGTGCATACGCACATTTGTCGATGGCGTGTACACTGCGTTGGGTGTTCCAAATGTGCTTGTGTGTGTGTGTGTGTGTGTGTGTGTGTGTGTCCAGGGGATGCATGGCGTGGCTGCCCACCTCGTTCGCCTGGGGCAACTTTAGCGTCCTGGCTGTGGGGGTGTGGGCCATCGCTCACAGGGACTCCATTGACGCCGTGCTGATGGTGAGTGTCGCAGTCGGACCTCAAAACGAATCTGGATGAATCTAACGCTCGTTTGTTGTCGCCGTTGTCACCGTTGTCACTAAAATGGCCGCCAACGAGCTTCGAGGTAGGATGAGGGACAAGGCTTGTGTTTGCATTTGTAGTCCGGTCGGGATTAGCGCACAGGTGTCAAACTCAAGGCCCGGGGGCCAGATCCGGCCGGCCACATCATTTTATTTGGTCCGTGAAAGCAAATCACGCGCGTCAATTTGCATGAGCCTTGCTCAGAACTCTACCGAAGTATCAAATTGTCATGTGTCATAAATAACACAGAGATTTTTTTTTCCCCTCTTTACACCAACTTGAACAATAATTGAATAAATTATGATCGTCGACTGGACTAGTAATCCATTCATTTGTTGTTTGCAAGTCATAATGCAATGAGACGATGAAACTTTTTTTTTTGGTTTCACGATCATAACGGCCCTCCGAGGGGAGACGCTACTCCAAAGTGGCCCTCGACAAAAAACGAGTTTGACACCCCTGGTTAGCACATAGCGGGAGGGGCATTGTTCGGAACCGTCTCAGAATCGCGAGCTGAGGGTGAGTGCTTTAGGGTTGGATGGGAAACTTTGGATTTTCAAAAGAGACAACAAACATTGTTGATCGCTGAGTTGAAGCGGTTAGAATGTGAAAGTATTTCACTTTTTGAGGGAAGGGATCACAGTGGAAGGTTTTCTCTTTGTGGTCCTGCGCAGTTTCTGATCGGGATGGCCGTGACCATCTTGACGGACATCATCCACTTTGGCATCTACTACTCGCTGAGCGAACTGGCGTCCGAAAAGGGGCGAGACGTGTTCCGCTTCAGCGCCGGCATGGCCATCCTCAGCCTGCTGCTCAAGCCCGCTTCCTGCTTTTTCGTCTACCAGATGTACCGCGAGCGAGGGGGGGATTACAACGTCAACTTTGGTGAGTTTAGGGCGGCTTCTGCTTTGGCCTACTTCGCCCGCGTGAATATTTTTGCTGCCTCTACCATTGCACTGGGGCAGTGCACGCAATCGTATGTCTTCGTTGAAGTTCAGCCGTTAACCTCGTGTCTGAAAACACGCCGAGAGAGTGTTTGCGTTGGAGATCTCTGCGCTGTTGTCATGCTGTTTGTTTTAAGCTAACAAGCTTCATTATTTCCAGTCACAAGAGTGTAAATGCCACGAAATATCCGAGGCGCACCACGTGAAGCCACTTTGCCACCGCGGTGACTCGGTTTCATGCAAAACGGCGCCGGAAATTGTTTGGCTTCCATGCGGCCTGATGTGCAAATCAGTCCGCGTCTTGGGAATTGGATTTGTGTACTCACTGGATTTTGTCGTCCTTGCTGGAAAAGCGGCCTAAGTTTTCTGGAGACAATTTGGCCTGGCGGAATTTTCAGTGTCGCATTGGCTGATTTCACCGCGTCTTGATGTTTTATGCTAACGTCACACAGCAGGGGCACACAGCAGGCTGGAGATTCTTATGAGCTGAGCGGCGACTGATGTGTCTCTGAATTGGAGCCCCAACGCATCCATGAAACATTTTGGAGTTTCCCCAGCAGGCCAAAGCGCTTTTTAACGGGCTCGCAATCAGGGCAACACTTCAAATCTGACGTCAAGTTTAGCGAGAGTGACATGGACTGCTGAGCCAATCAGAAGCCCTAAAAAAAGAACCTAGCGATGCGTTCTGATGCATCCGTTGCTCAATATAGGGAGAGTTCATGGTTGTGAAACTAAATTTCTTTTTTTTTCTTTGAAATACTGAAATTAGCTTTGGCGGTTTCAAGGTACTACCTTATTTTGCTCGAGCAGGCCATTGCAGGAACGTCAAATGTCTGTCATCAGGGTGTAAAAAAAAAAAAGAAAAAGTATTTAGGAGAGCGGAACATTGGAGGAAGTGGTTTGCACATCTGACTCACAGTACAGAGGTCGAGGCTTCGAATCCGGGCTGCGGCCTTCCTGTGTGCCGTTTGCGAGGGTCTTCTAAGAGTACTCCGGTTGTAAAATATCTTCATTGAAATATCTCAAACAGCAGTAATTAATAAATTTCTGAGGTATATTCAAATGTAAGTATGAATAGTTAATAAGTTGAAATAATGAATATTAATTAACCTTGAAATATGTATAAAAACATACCTAATAAGAAGCAAATGTATTTTCTGACATCAGGATAAAATTCCACTTCATGAATACGCTTCATATCATCCTCAATACGAAAAAAAATCACCTAGACATTTTTAGGTTTAAAAAAGACAACTTGTATTAATTGTAAATACAAATATGAAAACATTTAGAAATGCAAAAAAAAAAAAATTAACATGACTGAAATCATTCCAGCGATTATTCCTAAAAATATCGATTTCATCAGATAACACCAGCATCATCGACACACCAAAAGCAACCCCCCCCCCCCAAAAAAAAATCCTGTCCCAATATTCCATTTTCAGTGACTGAAAATACTTGGTGTGGTGGTGGCCTCTGCCCGAATGGTTTATTGTGGAAGCTTTCGGACATTTCCTTCCTCGCATGCCACTTTGGCCCCGCGTGTGTCTCGTCTCGGAATGTTCTCATGTCCTCCTTTGTCTCCTCCCTCCCGCCCCCTCTTTTTACCTTTGACCTCTCAGACTTAGAGACCTCAGTGGACAGCCGCTGCACGACGGACAGTGCCGACAGTGCATTTATCGGCCGCCGCTATTGACCCCCACCTTGACCCCACCCCCTCCTCCCTCGTCCAACCCCTTTCTCTCTCTGCCAATCATCTGCCTTCCATTCCCCTCTGCACAGGAAGTGAACTCACGAACAGGGAAGGACAAAGAGAACACTTTTTTTTCTCTCTTTGTCATTTGTTTTTCTATTTATAAGTGTGTGTGTGGGTGTGTGTGCGTGTTTGTGTGAATATTTGCACAGTCATAATAACATAGTGGTGCCTTGATATACAGTACAAGTAACCGCACTTAAGTTTTTTTGTTTTTCTTGAAAGACACAAGCTGTCGTTGGCTTTGAAACAGCAGTTTGTGGAATTCAAAAAAGGAGGCCACAAGCTTTTTGAATACAGGTCCCAGTTGAAGGGTGCTGTCAAACTTAACAGAAAACAAAAGTTAATTACGCCTCGTGGATTTAATATAACTAAATTGCTTTCTGTTAAAAAAAAAGGTCTGCTTTGCCTCATGTTAACAAGCAGTACAAACCACCATAGACGGGCTAATGAATGGCACTGGCGTTGCAGTGTCATAACTCTCGAAGCAGTATTTGAACGCATGTGTAAGAGAAATGTTCGATTCATAATTGTCTATTTTATATTTATTGTGATACCGTTTTGCATATTTCCTATATTATATTGTCCCCATGTCGTCATGGCACGCAGAGTAGAAGGAGCGACACAGTGTCCGTTGAATTAAAGCAAAAAAATGTGGCAAAAACTGTTCAATCCTTTGCACTTTTTCTGATGATGTCATTACTCTATGCTTTTAGGAACCCAAATATGATAGGATGCTAATTTCGTTTTGGAGGGCAGCGGGGTGGAACACATCAATGGCATTTCCAGTCATATCAATGTGGAAAGATGATTTGGGTGTTTTGGGTCGCAAGCGTAGACACGGGACAGATAAACTCATATGTCAAGGTACCACTGATCATAAATTGACTCCACTGTGAAAAGTTGCTGATTGAAGGGGTGTTCGGCTTTGTACATATTGGAATAAATATCATGAACGTGTCGCACTGTTTACAAGTGATGATTTCAAACAGAAACAACGGGTGAGAAATGGGGTCTATACAGTATAAGAAAAAAAAAGTGGGCCCGTGACAATTTCAATTATTTCCACGGCGAGATGGTACACTCCAGTTGTCGCTCCGATGGTGCCGATTCCTTCAAACGGAAGTACACAAATTTGCCCAAAATTTCATATTTTCTCAAGCAATTGTGGGGAGTTTGTGCATTGTGACGTAACAATCAAAATCATCAAATCGTGTCTTCAAAACACAACACAACGCATGAGTCCATTTCATTCAGTCGTGTCATATAACGCACAACGGTTGGACTCGATTAAGTTTGATTCCGGGGCAGGGAGGGAACACTTAAGTCGGGACTCCAACAATTACAAGAAAAATAAAAGTTTATTCAGAGATCTGTTTGTCAATGCATGATCCACGTTTGAAGATAACTCATTGTTGAGAATTGAAGATGGGGAACTATGTGGTCCTGAATTGCAGAGGTCAATAGTTTGTCACTCTTCAACTCATTCACCAAAATTAACAACAACAAAAAAAACTGTGAGGCGGTCGTGCTAACCACGAGGTCACAGCGCTGCCTTGAAAAGACTGCAGAAAAATATCGATGCACATATATTGGGGAAAAAAAAATATATCTATATATTTTGAGAGACAGAATTTTTTTTTCATGATGCCAACACAGAAGTAATCCAATCCCAATGACAAAAAGCTCCGTTGATTCCACAAGAACGCTGAGCAATCCTCCACTCGGTGACGGTGTGCCTTCATTGTCTTGTCATGGTGGGCGTGTCCCCCGCCTGCCTGCAGGTTTCCCCTCCATGAGCCGAAACCGAGACGCGTACCAGTCCATCGACCCCCAACAGGACGCCTCCACCAGCGTTGCCAACCCCTTCAACCAGGCGCAGGACACCAAGGCACCGCGAGCCTACTGATGCCCGCGCGCTAGCGCCACCTGCAAACCGGGCGGCCAAGTGCAGCATGACCGGCCGCCTGTCTGCTGTGTTCCAGAGTGTCATTGCTGTCATTGTTGTGGAAGCCTTTCCATGTCAATATTGTATAGTGTCTGTTGCATTTTTTTTTAAGAAAAGTTTATTGTATGTTGGGCACTTGACAGTTTGTTGGGCGCACGCACACGCACACACACACACACACACAGACACACACGACAAAAAAAACAAAACAAAACAGAAATGGTCGTTTGATTTGTTAGCAGGCAGTCTATTTGGTTCACGGTCAAGAAAGTGAATGCAGTATTAAATATCGATCTACACACACTTTAGGATTTCGTGAGCAGTAAAATTGTAAAAATGGACACACATCCGCATTTAGCTTTTATTTTTTACATGAGAGCAAAGTAAAACCGCAAAAGGTTTGCATTTTGTTCAGGATATAAGAACAAAGGAAAATAAATGTTTGCTTTTTTTTCAGCTAAGCATAAATGAGTGAATTCTGTTCGGATCTTTGTTTTTTTGTTCATTTTGTTTCGAATTCAATTTGTGTTTTGTTTCATGCTTCGCTGGGTCATATTTTCTTGATGTGTTGCTCGTTGGGTTTTTGGTTTTGCACCAGTTCTCCCCAGCCCTGTTCTTCGGGTCTCCCCAATCAACTCCCTCCAGCTACTCGTGCCTTGTCCAGGTGTGCCTCATTGTCTCGTCAGTTAGCTTGTATTTAATTGCCCCGTTTCATTCAGTCTTTGCCAGTTTGTTATTTGTGTTTGGTGTCGTGTAACGTGAAGTTTGTGTTTCCTGCCGCGATGGCTTTTCGGGTCTTTGTTACTTTGAGCCTTGTTCATTTTAACAAACAATTCATCAAACCACACACAAAACCAGAAAACAACAGGCAAGAGCTGCCCAGACGCTCGGATCGGCAAGGATCTCATTGGGTGAATTGATTATTGACTCTCGTGTAAAAGACACTCAAGATTCATTGGGGAGATGGGAGGACGAGGATGTGGAGGTGGGGGGAAGCCAAGTGGAAAGGCGCCACGGATGATTAAGAGCGACCTCGCACCTGTGACTCCCCCCACCCCCCTCCATGCGTCAAGGGCGCACGCAGCCGGTGGCTAATTGAGGCGGGATGCAATAACAGGAAGTCAATTTGTTACAGGGGCCGTGACCGTCCCCAGCGATGTTGTCATGAGGCGTTCAGGTAAGACCTCGTATTTGGACAATATCGTGGTTCAAACAGTACACGCAAATGACATGCCGCTGTTTGATTTTTGTTTTTATACAAGCATCAAGTCAAACAGCTAAAGTGGTCTGGGTACTGCCCTTTTGATTAAAAAAAAATATATATATTCCAGTTTTAGCGCTTGTTTTTTTTAGCTGCGCATAAAGTCAAAGAGAAGAAATGACACAAATGTTGATCTTTTTTTCCCCCCAAAAAGTAAAATGACAAAAATGGGTACAAACGCTAGCCTTTGGTTTTTATATGAGTATCAGGCATTTTTTTGTCATGATGAGCATCAATTATTTTTATATGAGCATAAAGATGCTGGCCTTTGGTTTTTATATGAGCATCAGGCATTTTTTTGTCATTATGAGCATAAATTATTTTTATATGAGCATAAAATATCATAATAAAACCGAATACAAATGTTAGGATTTTATTTAGGATATAAGCACAACATCAAAGAATACAAACTAGATACAAATGTGAGCTGAAGCTATGCAATCCTCACACAGTAATAAATAAAAACACGAAATTTTCCACAACACAAAATAACATCCAAAACTTTTTGGGGGTAAATTTCACAAAATTGTCAGCACGCTAATCCAAAATCCTCTTATTCACAACTAATTGTAAAATTAGAGGGAACAAAAGATGAAATAAAACTCAAGAATCACACTGGTCACCTCATCCAACCGGAAACATAAAACATATCATGAGCCGAATTTGTCATTTTTGACCTGGAAAAATACCAATGTGCTTCAAAATGTGTTTTTCTTTCTTGTTTTCCGAAATGTGACTCAGGAAAACTCTGCTATTGGGCAAACGGAATCTGTTCTATGAAAATAGTTCCGTCACTTGAGGGCTGCTAATTAAAACAATAAAAGGCTGCTCATTAAACGATCATATGCGTGTTCTTCTTTCTCGCTCTCTTCTATTTGCTTTAATTGTCTCCTTTTCTTTCTTCGCTGACCCAAATTCCCCTCGGTGAAGATGATTAAACATTCATTTTATCTTCCTCCTCCATCTTTAATGCTCAATTACGGTTGGAAAACTCGCGGCGTGGCTTCTCGCTCGCCCCGAAACTCTGAAACGTCTCTGAAACGACGCCCCAAAATAAACTTGGCGTGGAAAAACCTTCCGAGTGGGAGAATAATAACGAGCGAGTCGGTGGACTGTCAGCCCAGCGTGATGAACGACCGCGGGGGAGGCGGCGTGCAGGAACACGGTCGTTTGTTACCGGGTTGTCACAAATGTTTTTTTAATGAATGCGCACTTCGGACCTTCTCTGCACTTCCCTCAGGCCAAATGTGCACGTGATATTTCCACAACTTTCGCGGCCGTCAATGAAATGTAAATAAGCCTTTCCCCTTCCATTAGTCAACACCTCATTATTATCCACAGCAGCTTGCGCGCTAGCGGGTGCTTGGTTATGAAATGAACGAGGGAAGGCGATGAGGGACGAGCCTTGTGTTTCTACAGAGCCGTTGTTTGTTTTGAATTGAAATGAATGTTGAAGGTTTGGCATTCAAATTTGTTGCGGTCGACTGGTTAAGCACGTCGGCCTCACAGTGCAGAGATGCAGGTTTTGATTCTGGCAATTCTGTTTGGAGTTTGACTGTTCTCGCCGTGCCTGTGTGGGTTTTGTTCGGGTACTCCGGTTTCCTCCCGCATTTCCAAAATACGCAGGGTGTGTTAACGGAACACTCCAAATTGTCCCTAGGTTGGAGTGTGAGCGCAAATGGTCGTTCATTTATCTATGTGTGCCCTGGGATTGGCTGGCAACCAGTTCAGGGTGTGTCTCCCCCAGAAGACAGCTGGGGTAGGTTCCAGCAAGCCCGCCACCCTCATATCGATAAGCAGATTAGAAAACGGATGGATGGGTGTATTTGTTGAGCACCTTAAGCATAAAAGCAGACGTGCTCTCATCCCCCAAATTTTTGAAAATTCAACATGAGCAACATTCAGCCCGTAGCAACACAAATTTTGACAAACACGTCAATCATGAGCAACTACGCCTGGAAAGACAAAGGAGGGTTGCCATTTTTCGTTTGAAGCAGCCATTTTAGGGCTGTTCAAATACAAACATACACCACAGCTTGTTACATTTTACCAAATACAAATTTAGTAGGTACGTCTATCCTTGGTAGACCCACAAAAAGAGTCACAAAAAGCCATGCGTGAAAACACTCAGCAGGTGTAATTTTTTTTTTTTTAAATTAATTCCAGGTCTTGTATGTCAACGACCTCTTACGAGGCGGAGTTGCTGGCAGCTTTCATTCTATCAGCGTGATTTCTCATGGGGGAAAATTTCAATTCCAAAAGAGGATTCTCGCCACGTGGTGTCTGATGAAGTCACGAACGCTTGGCCCCTGTGGAGCGGCACCTTGTCACAGCGACAACGAAGTGTGGCCCCGATGGCGGCGTGACCTCGGCCACTTAATACCGCCACGCAAAGGTTTCTCACCTACTGACAGCCCGCCCCCACCCCTGTCCCCCCTGCTCGGAGAATGTCACGTCCGCTATGTGGCGTAGCTCCAGGTTTGGTACGAGGTGGAGCCACTAGAGCACGAGCGGGTGGTTGCTCTTGTCTTGTTCGAGGAGGCGCGTCTGCTTGTCGCTGTGGGAAACAAGAAAAGAAAGTCCGACACATCCTCTGTGAGGCTGCGCATTCGGTGAGAGAAAAACCATTTGGGTTTTTTTTTTCTTCCTTCTGTTCGAAGTCATTCGGTCTCGAGCTTTACGCCACAGTGCGATCAATTTACCGTACATCAGGGCTTCTTGGACTTCATAGATCCAGTGGACACATCGGAATGAGTTTTCACAATTGTGATTTTTTTTCCTTTTTTCTTTTTTTAATACTTGTGCTTGGGGCTTGTGCTTACCCGTCTTGACTCTCCGCTTCCATTGTTGTGTTATCTTCGTAAATCTTCAGCATGGTTTCGGTGCGGTCATCACGGCGCTCTTTGGTCTCCTGGAGCCTGCAAAAAAAAAAAAAAAATGGACCGGGATATGCGGATGGAAGGAAAACATGTTTAAAAAGTGGGCGGAACAGAGACGAAACAGAAAACAAATCCAATTTATCCTGGCGGCACGAGACACCACCTGGGTTCCAGTCTCTCTTTGACCTTGGCGATGGACAGGATGTAGGGGCTGATCTGCCTGGCGATGGTGGTCAGGTAGGAGTTCTCCTGCTTCAGCTGCATCAGGTCGTGAAGCTGGGCTGCGAGGGTCCGGACGAAACAGATCAAGCGGGCGAGCCGATAATCGGCCCAGATTTGAGCTTGAAAATGTGTTGCCAGAAGACACACCTTCATAGATCTCCTGCTCGTTGGTGACCCTCTGAAAGGTCTCCTCCCAGATCTGTGAGGGGAAAACCGCAAGGGTGATTTTTTTTTTTTTTGCCGGGCATCACCGTTTGAAAAGATGCAAGAGAGGAAGACCTCTTCAAACATGGTCCTCATGGTCTCCACCGTGGCGTACTGGGAGGCGATCTGGCTGTCGATGTGCAGCGAGCGGTCCAAGATCTCGCCCATTTGGTCCGTGTTGATGATGGAGTGGTGCTTGGTCAGGTCTCGGTGCAACTCCTGGACCTGGTCTTTCAGGCTCTGGATCTCGGTCTGAAGGGTCTGCAGATCAAGCGCACGGATGCAGAAGAAGAGACGAGTATTTGATTTGTGAAAGGTTATGAAACTGACCAAAGAAGGGCGGTTTCGCACTATCCGGTCGCTCAAGTTTTTTATGGGCATTTATTTTATCAAAACTGAGACCAAGAAATAGAGTTCGGGCGCACGCTCCATTCAAAACATTTTGTGGACATGTGCCGATAAGATAAGATAACAACTAGATTAATGAACCCAAAGCTTTTTCTTTGGCTTTATGAGAATTTTTGCGATCTCACTCTCATTCCTTATGACTACTGTGAATAATTTTCCCACAAGACAGTTGAAAGCGCGTAGCTGGTGCACTCACCCTGTAGGAGTTCTCGTAGCTGTTACAGTGCTTGGTGAAGGGGGTCTCGCGCCCCTCGGCCAGCAGGACCTTGGTGCAGATGTTGCGGTGAGACGTGGGCCTCCGACCGAAGACGGAACCCAGCGGCATCTCACTGAGGGACTGCGAGCGGCAAGACATGGAGAGAGGCGACTGCAGCCTGAGGTGGGGGGGCGGGGGGGTTCAATATCCATATATATAATATAGCCATTTTCACGGCAATACCACACACACCAGACGCGTCATTACAAATTTCATCACGTCGTCGTCATACTCAACAGGCAATCACCGCATCCGAAACTCGAGAGCGCAGAGTGACAAACAGGCACAGCGGCCGCGGTATAATAAACTCACGCCAATTTATCGATCGGTCCGTCACGGAGGCTTGAAGACGAAAGGCTGCAATAAAGAAACGGAGCCAGACTCCCCCGACGCACCTGCACGGATCTGCCACTCGCCGCAAGATAGGCCAGTCGCACCGCTTTTAAGAAATACTTTGCCCGCCCAGTGACATCAAGCGGCCCGGAACAAAGCCGCTGCGGCGTGCCAACTCGTAGATTAATTCCGGAGGCTTCTGTGAAATTATGTTAAAAATAGTTCTGGCCGATCCCCAGGCCTCTTTGCGTGTTGAGTGGTGAACAGTGTGATGGAATTACAAGTGGGGAAGGACACGGAGTTGCAACAAGACTTGATTGTTTTTTTTCTCGTGTTAGTCCTCAGTAACCGAGTACAAATATTTGGTTACTGTACTTGAGTACGTTTTTCAGATCTCCTTACTTGAGTATTTGTTTTTCTGGTGACTTCTTACTTTTACTCTCTCCTATACATTCGACGCCTTTTCTCACTGCACTTAGCAACGCAACATCGACGAACCCGTTCATGGTGTAAGTGATAAATCGGGGGGGGGGGGCCCATTCAATTAAAGAGAGTCCGGCGGAGTGATTTCAGAGTGCTAACAGCAATTGACCAACCAGCGAGATAAGCCTCCCTGTTGCTTCCTGGCTGGTTGCTACGCAAGCAAATCCCAAATATGGGCGAGCTTTGGGGATTTCAAGTCGGGATGCCTCGCAAAGTGCCAAATGTCCGGCCCGCCCCGCCGGCTTTCCTGGAACGATGGCAACGCGCCGACGCCACATTGAGGTGGGGGGCGGGGGATGTACGCGGAAAACCGAATGTCGGAAATTATCTCACCTCGTGGCGACGCTGGAAGACCCGGCGACCGATGGGGCGCAGCGCTGGCCAATCAGAAGCAGCGGCTCCAGACAGCGGGCAAACTCACTGCGGTATTCTGTGTTGATCTGATGGGAGGGTGCAGGGGGATGTTCTTACAGTGGAACCTCCACATTACAATTTGGGAAATTTGTCAACTTTGAGAAATAGGAAAACAAATGCAGATTCGTTGCATCAGTACAGTACAGTGCATCGCTGCGCTTGGCACTGACTTTGCTGCTTTGCACTGGTCTGAGGCGATGCGGGAGCTTGACGATCCGCTTCAGTCGCTCCATCAGTTGCTGTGGAAGCAAAAACATCTTCATCCACATGGACTCGTTCCATTTGAAGACGGCTGTCAGTGCGCGGCCGCGATATCGCTGCAATGTATTTGATGTTTCTTGCTCGGTGGAATCCACTCACGTAACCCATGTCCAGAAACTCAAACATGTTGGCTGAGCTGAGGAAGGCTGAGCAGGTGACCAGATGAACCTGAAATCACAAAGTACGGGTTTGAAGTGAGCAGTAGAGTTTCAAATTGGGGATACAAGATTGTGGTTTCAAATTAGATTTTGGAATTACGTGGGGTTAAGGTTGAAGGCCAGGGGTTCAAGTGAACATTTCAAACTACGGTTCTGAATTGCGTTAGGGCTTCAAACAAAGGTTAGAGGTTCAAATTGGGGTTTGGAGCCACCGTGTGCGTGTGTGTGTGTGGGGGGGGGGGGTTGCACCTGGAGTGTTGGCAGCAGTGAGGTGAGGTGTGACAGCTGCTCCTTGAGCGCTTTCTCCTTCTCCTCGTGTTGGCTGCACGCACGCACGCACACACACACACACACACACACACACACACACACACACACACACACACACACACACACACACACTCACACACACACACACACGTAATCGCTATAGAGTCCAGTCAAAATGGCGATTCTGAACGTGGCCCACATTTCCACAAACTAATCTGTCAACGCTCTCCCGTAACAGCACTCAGGGACATTCCGACTCAAATAGCCTGGACCGGCCTTCCAGGAAACGGCCGACCAGCCAGCCGTCGGTTCGGCTGGCCCGCTTCCAGGCAATGGCAATCCCGACAGAGCGCAACCGGATCGTTTCCTTTCCAATCCCAAATGGTCAAAACGGTCAATCAGAGGGAATAACAACATTGACTGGTCATTCCAATCGAGCACGTCGTCTTTTGCGACTAACGACGGCAACGGCTGTGGCGGCGTCAAATCAAATGCTTATTATTTATTCATATTCTATTGAAAGGAGGCTTTTATCAAAGGAGCGCAGAGTAAGGCCGCGTCGTCGAATGAAATGTGCTTCGGCACTTTAATACACAGTTTTGAGGCACTTCCTCTAAATTCTTTGCGTTGTGGAATTTTAATAATTTAGCAAATATTTTAAAAATAGATGTCGTCATTTTAATGGATTTTGAAAATCAATTGTGTAAAAAAGTGAAGATATTGTGTATACCGTTGTCGCTGTCCAATTATGGTCAACGTGATATTTTTCCACACATCGATATTAATCTCCCAATATGTGCTGTTATTTTTAGAAAACATGAACCAATCTTTCACGTTGAAAATAGTTTGACAACAAATCTACTAACTCTTTGTTTTTTTTTATCTGAAAGGGCCAACAACGCTCGTGTACAGTAGTTAACAGTTGGTCGTGATGATGGTACTTGGAGTCAGACGTACCTCTGTGCAGTCTTCAGCAAAATCTTCTTCCTCTCAGCCAGTTTTTCCTGTAACAAAAAGAGCATTCTTCGCAAGGATGAATAAATTCTGAAAAGTGTGAAAATATTCACTTACTTCTCCCTCAGATTTTTCTCGTCTCACAGTTAGATCAACAGTGCCCCCCAGTGGTTACATTGTGACCTTACTGTTGTGTGGATTTTTCTTTTGGCGCATGAGATTGAAATAACATTTTTTGTATTGCCCCTTCTACTGCGCGGCACATTTACCACAGTGCAGTACCTCAGTTGCATTTATAGATCAATCATTTTCACTCCATTTTTAATGATTCAGAAATCAGCTTTCGTGTTTTGGTTGAAATTGAGATGAACTCGATTGCCTGCAAACTGTTGAAGAGAGAGCAGATGGCGCTCTCCTCCTCCTCCACGTTCAGACAGACTTCTCCTATCATGGACCTCAGCAGGAAGATGGCCTCTCGGGTGGACGTCTGCAGCTCCTTCACCACCTGTGTTTGTTGGAGGCAGGAGGAAAAGAGGCTTTCAAAACGTGACACAACAACTCCAGTGGTGGGACCAACAAATTCATGGGACATTATTTTTAGTATTTATTTTTCTGATGACTTTTTTGTGGTCCTAATTTCATTTGAAAACTAACTGGTGTATGTAATTTCAACCCCTTACTTTGTCCAAAAGGGCTTTTTTTCAACCTCGACTGATAACAAAATGATGTAAAAATGGTAGGCTTCACCATCATGTGACTAATAAAGATTATCTTACCATATCTTAAACAAAATGTAAACAGAAGTGAGATAAAAGCCCATTGTCGTTGAGATCTTGATTGATGGTATTGGCAGTGGGACAATTTATGGGTATCGGGTATTGGAGTTGAATCAGTAGTTCAACTTTCACCAGAGTATGTTTTCCACACAAATATGTGAACTTTTATTTAAGTACAGAGTGTGATTACTTTTGCCACCTCTGCGCAGCTCTCTGTGCCAACTCTCTTACCAGCACGGCCTGGTCCAACATCTCACATCCTTGCATGTAGGCTGTCTCAATGTCAATGCAGTGAGTGCGACTCTCCCTGTGGAGTGCACGCAAGCACGCACACACACACGCACACACACACGCACACACACACACACACACACACACACA